TATGCTTTTTCGCTTTTCATTGTGTATCTTGATGCAGTGAGTTAACTGAGTTAGGCTAGAAAACGTTTGCTACCGAGTGGATTTTTTTGGTTTCATATGTTTATGGCATTACGGTAGTTCAGAGTGGAATAAGGTTCTATACGTTGGCGTTTGTGATTGTATTCGTTGAAAGACGGCCGCTTGAAGAGGGAGCTTCACAGAAAGCTTTGCCGTTTTTTTTGAACAATCTGTTGTAGCTAGCAGTTAGATTTAAAAATGGATGTAATTTTTTTGGCTATCTGACTTGATACAGTTCGTCGGAAAAGTGAAGTATTGTATGCCCTGAAGAAGGTGTGTGAACCCTCAGAGGAAATGATAGGATAGAAAATGCTGAGATAAAAAATAGGCTGTTTGAATCCGTTTCGTACACGTAGAAAGCATTCTCTGAGGTGAAAACATCAAGTGATTTTCGTGATTTCAATGAAATAGTTGAAATACCTATGAAGGTGTTAGAATCCTTTTAGGCACTTTGAAAAATCTTTAAATACCTAGTAGTACTTGAAAAGGGCTCTGGTGTATAATTTCTTTTCCGTGTGAAAATCTGCCACATCTTGGACAATTAACTTTAAACATGGATGGATGTGGGTGCGAGTGTGGACATTTTCTCACCCCCATCCCCACGTCCACCTCCACACCCACAATAACTCTTCGTTCATTCTATATTAATTCAAAAATGTAAATGTCACAACGGGCATGATGAACACTACTTCGTTAAAAAGATAGCACCAATAGTACGATTAACGTTTACTCGTAAAAGAATTAGACAAGTGTTTCAAAAATCGATATAAAGAGCACGTAAATTGTGCTTACATATTTTGAAATGATAGAGTTTAACTGCCTGTTGAAGGTCTTTTTAAAGGAAAAGTATTCACTTTTTTTATCTCTTAATCAAAAATACAAATCTGAATACCCAGCTTGATGTCGAGCGATAGGGGTCACCTTAGTGCAGCGAATTTCAAGGGATCTGCAGGTCAAAAATACCCTTTCAGAGCTTTAAAAAAGATCTCCAAACTTTTTTTTCTACCTTAAAAACTATGATATTTGTAATCAGCACGCTTCATCCTTTCTTGCTCTATGGTATTTATAAATACCATTCTATAAAAAAATTGATTTTTTTAAACTACGAGACATTCAGGAATGGGTTTTATCTCAACTTAAATCTTACTTATTGTAGACTTCAAATCAACAACCTCAATCTGGCCTTTATCGTAAAAATAACTTATTTTAATGTTCGCTGAATATATAACGTGATGCCACCCACTATAATTCATAAGAAAGACTCGTTTGTAGTACTTGTTCCAAACTTTTTCTGTGTATAATAGGTGTCACAAGGTCGAGATTATTGAGTAAATCGTCTTTCCAAACTGTCAGATTTAGTCAATGGCAAGAAAGGGTTAAATTAATCGAACTATGAATACAACTGGTAGGACCGTAAAAAAACAGTTTTCGATATTTGAGGAAGAACACAGATATTAAAATTTGAACTATAATAATGTATAAAATACATTTGTAGAAAGTAAACAGGACTCAATGCTGCCTTTCAGCCATACAATAATAGGGTAATTTTTCTGATGGATCGGATGCGCACTGGGATATAACTTACTTCTTCTAATTTCGACAGATCTGAAAAACATGATTTGGAAACTGAGGTCTATTCGAGTCGAATTGACGGAACTGTTGCTACATTTAAAAAGAGTAGGTCGTCGATGACAACGGCCGTTTACGACAAAATATGTCAAAAAACGATGAACGTCGATTGAACCGTTTACAACTGACGTATACGATGATTTACAACTTTGTTCGATAAGCATTCACCTGTAATATCACCGAATAACGGTTTTGAAAGATATGTTCTCAGTAAATGAAGATGGCATATTCGAATTTAGCGTGATCAATAACTCCAGTAAATGTTGAGATCTCAAAAGGGTTCATCTAACCACAGGCCAAAAGAAAATGTAAGAATATTCAATGGAAAAAGCAGTACAGATGAAAAAATTAATTTCTTCGTAGTAGAATTGAACCAGCATCGCGTTGTTCCACGCTCTTTAGCCACTCAGCTATATGCGAATTATTCTCATCTGTTCTATTTCATACATCGTTCTTGTTTTCTTTATTAAGTTTAACTCTATTGAGTCAATATTCAAATACAAAATCATTACCTATCATCATCAGATAGGATCTTCTAACACATACAAGTATATTTCATGGAATCAAAATTTTCAATACAATAATGTTTTCTTGATGTGAAGAAAAAATCCATATTATTTAGTTTTCAATCACAATGGCAACAATAAATTTCTACATATAGCTACTTCTATCTTCTAATGTGCTTGTGTCTAAATGATAGCTATCAAAAAGAAAGATACTGCCAGGAAGGTATTCTTATATATGGTTGATATCAGATGATGTTAGATTTAAGAAAGAAAACAAAATGAAATATTTGAGTTTTTGTAAATCCTTGTTTGAACATTTCTTGATGGTTCAAAAAATATCTCTGTAATCTCAATTAAGTATTGTTTATACCTGATAATATATAAGACTCCATTTTTCTTTTTATTATAATGAGACTTAAAATATTCACTTGATTTGTGTGTTATAGTTTTAGAATAAGAATATGTTTACTTGGTATCAAACAGCATTGCTCGTAAAGACAATTATTGCTTCATATGAGTCCTACACTATGTTTAGACAGCGAGTCTATACACGATTAAACTTGTGCTTGATTATAAGTTGTGCATCCACACGTATAAACGTTCTTTTTCATTAATCATGATTAGCAATGTATATATGCATAATTCAGTAATCATGCATTCGATTGAGGTATAGAAGAAAGGACTGCGTAGTATATTGATCATTCTAATAAAAAATATGCATCCTCTCCCTGTCTACTCATTTATGAAGCGACACAAGTCAATTGTCTCATGAAAGTACAAACGATCAAAATAGCGACCGTTTGCCATTTCGCTATTTTTACAATGTTTGAATTCGATTATTCGACAAGAAGGCTTAATTTGGAAACATCCGAGAAGTTCAACATTTTTCGGGTACACCATGCCATTATTCAATGAAGATTTTTCTCTGAAGCTGACTTGTTACTGGAGAAGCTCCTGTTCCACGATTATTATCTTTTACTCAAACATAGCTTTGACAAATGGATCGATGTCTATTCTTGATCTATTCGATTGTTCGGTTGCACCATTTTTTGTTCAGTCGATTTTGAATCATTCTCCAGGCTTTTCGATTTCAATGACTATTCAATTGCTTTACAACTGACTCCTCTTTCAGCAAACTAAGTAGCAGGCTCGTTTTCGAATCTGACCAAACAGTTTGGTCATTGTCAAGAGTAGTCATGTTATTATTGCTACTTATTTCGATGTTGTTCTTGTCCGAAAACAATTCCATATTGTAAAAAAATCGGAAAAGATTTATTTAAATCTTTCAATTGCGGTTACTTAAGAAGGTAGGCGAAAAGAATTGCCTGTAACAACTAAAAATTAAGTAAAGTATAGCAATTTATGATAGCCTGAATCATTCATAATACCGCCGTATAAAGATAGTGTTATTATGAATTGATGTACGACAAGAAGAATTTCTTGATTATTCAGTGATTAACAGCGTAAATTTTCTTTATGCCGACGATTAATCATTAGAAATTACAACTTATCTTTATAAGTTGTAGTNTCATAGTTTTTGCTCTGTTTGCTTTTGAAAGAAACTTTAACTAATATATATATATAAGTTATTGTTTGAAGTCAATATCATATTATGACTCAGAGAAATAAGACAATAAGAAAAAGAAAAATATTACACCATCGATCGTCATGAATCGAAGAAAGTTATTTGTTCATATTTTTAAACATCGATAAACACATGTATATTAATAAAATATTTCAATTTAATTTGCTTCCAGAACTGCTCAACAAGAAGAAATCGTTCGTCGTATTCGTTACCCACGTCATGTTGGTAGTGATGGTATTGTTCGACCTTATATTGCTCATGAAGCTATGGGATTTTATATTCTAAATGTAACATTAATTTAGATCATGATACTTTTAAATTCTGTTGTCATTTTTTTTTCAATGAATCTTTAGCGATTAGAAGATGGAAATTATGCCAAATCGGATACATATGTTGCTCATATCAATTGTTCTGAAAATCCGCTGTCATGGTTAATGGCAACATCTAAGTAAACTAATAAAATTTGTTAACTATTTACAAAAAAAAACAGAATTTTTTAGACGATTATTATTTGTAACTGAAATATCATTTCTTGGTTTATATGGACTCGATTGGAAAATATCATATGAAGATTTAAAAGAAGAACCAATTATAAAAATAAATACAAATCAAATTCAAATTTTAACCAAAGTAAGTAAAGAAAGAAAAATAATATCGCACTACAAGAAAAAACAACAGAAATATCTAGAACAAAATCAAATCATCTGTATTATCAAAAGCAAGAAAGAAAATATCATTATCTGCTGTAGAGGATATATATTATATGAGACTGATCATATATTTATGTTCGCTAGTTGATTCATGAGCTCAATAAGATTTTAGGATATAATTTACTCTAATATTTATAAATTTATTTTTAGAAACCAAAAGCAATTGGAACTATAAGATCGCATACATCATTTAGAAAATTAGTTAAATTTAAAACTATATCTGATGCTAAAGTAACATTTATTTTGTTTATTTATGTTTATATTTGCATAAATTGAATTATTTTTTAGTATATCGTCGATAAAATTGAAAGTGCGATGCATGCCGTTGGTCTTTAAAAACTTATCTAGTATGCCGTATTATTTTATTTTATATGTGATTTGAAAAGTTTAAGGCTTTATCATTATTCCTCGATTTATTATGTGGCATTTCTTTTTTTATGCACACCTATTTAACATCAATCAATAAACCTTTGATTTTTGTGTGTGGAATTTTTATTTTAATATAAAGAAAAAGAGTGTTTCACATTTTTAATCTGAAAAAAATAAATGAGAATGCCATTTACAAATATTTTATTAAAAAAATTCAATAATCCTATATTCAAAATTTTTTATATTTACATTTATTACTTTTTAATGAGAAAATCTTCATTTCAAAAACATAATCAAGCACAAGAAGAACAAGTAGAAACATAAAGGAGATGGGCGGGTTTGCACGTAAAACGGCCCTAAATAAAAATCATCTCAGAACACTTTATAAAATTGAATTTCATCTTTCTCTACGTAAGAATAAAGCATTTGGACTTCTTTCAGGCCATGTTTCGAGACCTCTTCTCGACATTTCTACTTATGAAAGAAGCATTATCAACATCGGAATCCCTCTCACAGGTTAACCACGTTAGTTTATCAAATCTGTCTCATATTTTCAGGAAAGATAGAGCTTTTCAAGAGCTACAAAATGATCACAAAATGTAAAGGAAAATATGCTGCGCTCGAAAGTTTTCAAGGACCACATTGTCAAGGTTCTACAGAAAAACCAATGGCCTTGATAGTTTGGTACTTGCGATCCTGACTGTGATTCTTGATGCCCTGGCCGTTTTTTTGCGCAGATAGAGCATTTCATGAGCTCAAAAATAATAATGAAAAATTTAGCAACAATTGGATGGCTAGAAAATGGTCGATGGCATGTTTAGCAGGTATGATTTATACTTCTCTCTATAGTACTGGCAGAACATATGACGGCTATGCTGGTGGTTTGTTGTACAAATGTCGACATCCAACGGCGGAGAGACATTCTAAACTAACCGATGGTACAGAAAAGTCGAAGGCACTTTGCAATCAGAGGAAGTCGGTTGCTTGCAGTTACGCGACCACCACAGCAATCACAGACATAAGACTTGTACGAATTCATTTTATGCGAAATGCAATAAAGATTCACGTATCCCATCGGTTCTATATTCTATCATCGCTATCTATAAAATGAATCGAACAAATGCCTCTCTTAAAAAAATTCCTCTTTACATCTCTCTCTCTATGAAACCTGTACGCTCTGAATCACTCTCCAAAGAAACTGTTTTCTCTGCATGCGTCGTGCAATCCTTGAGGCCCTCTCGAAATCGCTCTCCACCAAATATATTCTTTCTTCTTCTCTCTGATCTCGTATCATATATCTAATTCTCTATCTACCCAACATATTTTCCATCATTCTCCGTCGTTATATAATTACTTATACCTCGAACTCTCTATATATCGCATCTTCTATATGAATATTACTGTGTTTACTATTCTTCATCTCAATTCCTAATATTAATCTTCCATTTTTGCATATTAATCATCCGTGATGTATTGCTCGAGCTTTGCTTCGTTCTGCACGCTTAACGGTTTGATACCTAAAACCCCTTCTACCACCTACGCGAATATTCACAGCCGTTAAATGACAGAAGATCTGAAACCTATTCGCTGTACTATTCCGACAATTATTTTTTTCACAGTGATTCGATAGCGTCGTACGTGAGTTTTTTCGAGGACAGTAAATTTTCGTTTACATTTTGTAATCATTGTGCACGCCTTGAAGAACGCTATCTGCACAGAAAAAATGACGATGGTATCGAGAGCAATACTGAAGACCCTACGGACCATACTATCCCAACAATGGATTTTTCTGTAGAACCTTGACAGTTTGGTCCTTGGAAATTTTCGAACGTAGCACAGTTTTCTTCACATTTTGAGAGCATTTTGTGGCTCTTGAAAAGCTCTATCTTTCCTGAAAATATGAGACAGATTTGATAAACTAACGTGGTTAACCTGTGAGAGGGATTCCGATGTTGATAATGCTTCTGTCTTAGGTAGGAATGTCGAGAAGAGGTCTCGAAACGTTGCCTGAAAAAGGTCCAGATGGTTTATTCTTACTTAGAGGAAGATGAAATTCAATTCTATAAAGTGTTCTGAGATGACCTCTATTTAGGGCCGTTTTATGTGCAAACCCGCCCCCCCCCCCCTTTGATGTATCGTCATATCCATCTAAGCTTTTATTGGAAAGCAACGTTTCTAATAAAGTTGATTAGTCTACAAATATTAGGCCAAGAGATGAGTAAACAAAATAAAGATTTAAATAATTCAACTTATCCTTTCCTAAAATATTTCCTATTCAAAAAAAACAAAATACCTTCTAATAAAATCTAATAATTGTAGCAAGATATAAAATTATAAAATCAAGAATAATAATTCTTTCTTTATTTTTTTATTATATTATTTATAACCTACATATATATATGTATAAATAAATATATGTTTCATTGTTTTTGTTTTTGTTTGATTATCTGATATTTCGTCCTATTTATTCGGAAATTATCAAAGAAGTTTGAGTTATTGTTGTCGTTTGCTTTTGGTTAATTTATTTGTACTTGAATTTCTTTCGTTCGTCGTTCTTAACTTGACCATAACCTCAACTTGATGTTGTTCATATGTCACCACCGCTACCTGTTGTTGCTCTTATATCACGAGTTATAAATAATATAATAAAAAAATAAAGGAAGAATTATTATTCTTGATTTTATAACTTTGTATCTTGCTGCAATTATTAGATATTATTATTAGACTAAATGCTCATGTTATTCAATTTTATTATTTATTTGAACGAGCAGCTTAATACTTAACATGGTCATTTATACATTTATTTATTTACTATTATTACATCTTTATAATGATAATTATCTTTCTCAATAACGGTTTGAATTATGATGTTAATAAATCACAACAACAGGTAGTGATCGTGATATAAGAGCAACAACAGGTAGCGGTGGTGATATATGAACAACATCAGGTTGAGGTTATGGCCAAGTTGAGAACGACGAACGAATGAAATTCAAGTATAAATAAATTAATCAAAAGCAAACGACAACAACAATTCAAACTTCTTTGATAATTTCCGAATAAATAGGACGAAATATCAGATGATCAAACAAAAACAAAAACAATGAAACATATTTATATATATATATATATATGTAGGTTATAAAAAATATAATAAAAAAACAAAGGAAGAATTATTATTCTTGATTTTATAATTTTATATCTTCCTGCAATTATTAGATTTTATTATTAGATTAAATGCTCATGTTATTCAATTTTATAAAATACCTTCTGTGTACCTTGAACAGTGTTTATTTTAACGTTTTTTCTGTTTTCTCATAAGTCATTTGATTATAGAAGAAAGATGTCGTATTCTTTATCTGTATTCTATCAATAAGATTCGATTTGAATAACTCGATTATTCTACTAATTACAGTAGATTAAATTAATTTTATATTTTAAATTTTTTTTAATTCTCACTCATTCAATCGGCTTATCTATTGGTAAGACCTAATCCAATCGGAAAGTATAAAAGTGATTTGTTCTAGTAACTAGAAGAAAGGTCTTATTCAATAAATATGTATCTATTTCCAGAGATTAAATATAACTTAAATCATGTAANAGTAATTAAACAATTCATTCAATAAGCTGCTTCTGCGGTGGATTGGCGGGCAAATTTCCCTTCTGGACCGGTGTGGGGCGGGGGGGGGGGTCCAAATTTCTGCCCCTAAACACTTCAACACTCCTTTCAGATCGTGTCTCACAAAATTGTTGCATAATAATTTCATTGATAATTTCGATTAAATTGATTAAAAATTAATTTTAATCGATAGAAAATTATTATTCAGATCGATTTTATTTCTTATTTAATCCTGTTCTATTTAGATCATCTCTGATGGTGTCGGGCACCACCTTCTGTCTATCAAAGTAGGTAATGGCTTCGCCCTCGACCTGTGATAGTCTCTGACGGTCTCAGTCTCCATCTCCCACCATCTGCTATGGTCTCTGATATGATGCGCCCTGCTGTGTATCATGGTGTCCCATGGCTTCGTCTTCCAATCTGTCACTCTCTTTGACCGTGTCTGCTTCCTACCATCTGCTAAGATCTGTGTCCCCCTCCCCTGCCGTCTGTCATGATTTGTGATGGTCTCCACTCCAACGTCTGCTACTAGTTTTGCGGCCCAACTCTCTACTCTATATACTTCAGCACTTATTTAAGGTCGTTTTTCACAAAACATAATTTAATAGATCCTCCAAAACAATCTGTTCGACAAAAATTGGCGTATTCAGCGATTCATATTCCATGTTCTACTATGATTCAACATCTAATGATGCTACTTCCTGTGAATGTACTATAAACAGTGACTGCATGTTCGGTGAAAAGTACAACACTAGACTGGACTTTATGAGAAGTCAGTACCGAAAACGGAATTGTCCGAAATATCTTCCCCGAATCGGAAGGTGAAACGGGAATATATCATTCTAACCATATACATGCCTATGGGACTGTATGAGAACTTCCTTGTTTCTTGTTCTGTTCGAATGATAAATAATAGAGGTATAAACCCATCAGACTACCCTTAGAGTCAATAACTTAGAAATGCTTTAGATGACAAGACATTGCCTACCAAATAAATCGATCTTGAGAATGAAATTTCATTCTATTTGAAAGAACTTACATCTAACAGTGTTTCATTGGCAATCAAGTGCTTCGAAAAAAGCTGAAGTTCCCAATACTTCGAAAAAGAACTTCCTACATAAAAATTCCTATACTCTGTTATGATTAATTATTCACTAACTTGTAGAAACATTAATATGGAGAAAGAATTTAAAACTGTCTTCACACATACCTTATTGACGTTTACAATCGATTAAAACTCTGAAATCATATCCAATTCGATTGAGATTTTAATCAAATTATTTGTAAAAATTTTGATTTTCGGGCGAAAAATCAAACTATTTAGTCTATAATCAAAAATAATCATGAT